AAATTAAAAAATAAACAAAAGTAAGAAACTATGTCTTAAAAAAAAAAATCCACATCCTCTAATCCATAAAAACATATGAAACGTTAACTATAAAAGTCTTTCCTATTCAATGTTAGCTTTTTAATTCTGTTTGAAGACAATGTGCTACTTACTCAAACAACACGCACCCCGTGCTCAGGGACACGTAGTACACGGTGTAGAATAGGATGACACACAGAAGCAGCTTCTGCAAAACAACCTGTGGAGAAAACAGGTGTGAGGTCCAAGAACCTGGGATTTTTCACATGGTCTTTAGTAACTAGTTTGGCAAAAGATGATGAATGATTACTAGATAGTGTTGGCTAGCCTTGTATTGCTTAAGGACCCATGGGATGGGAAGGACTTCAAAGTGTCCATCTTGGAGCTTCTTTGGCGGTATAATTTTCTTAAGTGTCATGTGTCTTGGGTTTAGTTTATCCTTCCTACCCTGTATTAAAATCAGTTAGTTTTTCTTTTCATTTAAACATTGATAGCCTCTAGATATTTCTAGATGATTGCTTTCATTTCGATCCAAAATAAGATGAATAATATATAGTCTCTATATTAGTGTGTGTTTTCAACCATTAAACTTTTCTTATTTCTGTTAATATTAAAATTCAAATAACATTTTAATTTTTTAGTACATTCACTTACTATAAAATTTTCCTTGTATAATCCAAAAACATGAGGATGGTACTACATACCCAGAAAACCTACAAATACTAAATCTGTGTAAGACATTTGGAACTATTTTTTTAATTAAATCATAATTTGTGAGACAATATATTTGTTGACAAATTTTATAAGAAGATACACTGACTTTTCCCGACAAATTTATAAAACACTACATATTTTTAAAATGTTGCTAGCTGAAGAGGTTACCATCTTACACATTTGCACCAAGAATTAATGCAATATACAAATCCATATCACTTACGCTCCATTCACTGGAACAAACTTCCTAAATGCCAATATTTGTATTTTAACTTGACAAAATGACTCTAAACCTCAGCTGTGATAATAATATAATCTTGCCAGTCATAATAATAATGGAAAGAATCACAGTTACTTTTGCACCAACCTATAGAAAGATGAGAACAGGTAAATTCCAAATAATATTAACAAAAAACCCACATAATACCACAATAATTAAACCTCTGTACAAGAATTTACAGAGCAATTTGGTAAAACACAATAGATGGTCCTGAAATGGACTCTTCCACATCTGAGACCTAAGAAAGAAGCACTGCAGATTAATGAGAATTGGAAAGATTATTTGACAAATGGTCCTGTGAAAATAGTCTAACTTCTAAACAGAAAAATCCCATTAGATTCCAGTCTTGTACCAGACACCACAATAAATTTCAAGGGGATTAAAGGCTTAAATGCCAAGGAATAGGTTGAGAGAAAATATTTGCAATATATATCACAGGAAAAGGATTGATATCTATAATATATAAACTCACACAAATGTTAGAAAAAGACAAACCAATAGAAAAATGGACAAAGTATATAAATAGGCAATTCACATGAAGAAATACTTAAAAAGCCAACAAACAATCAAAAATGTGCCAAACTTCACTATTAACCTTTTCAAAGATATCCTTGTGACTATAATAAAGGTCGCAGCATTTCACATGAGAAATGCTCAATTTACTCACTTTATTCTTTTATTTTAGAATCTTAAAGCCATTTTTGCTTAACCCACACTCCAACACTTTAGGATTATTATTAATTTTACTTGAATGACCAATTCACCAAACTGACCACATATTTTCACTTGCCTAGGTACAGAAGGAGCCCACAGCTAGAGGCAAGAGGAGAAGCTGGTTAGCAGAGAGTAGACCACAACTAAGTGACTGAATGGACCAAATTTACAGATCTACTAAGAACCTACTTCTTCCAACTATTTTTAAATGGGTAGGATGTGAAGCCTGAGAGGGCCATGAGAAAACAGGACTCCAACATTCTGGGACCTTCAGAGTCTTACCCCCTCCCTTGCTCCCACACCATCCTCAACACTCCCTACTCTTTGCCTATGTCCACCCCCAGCCTTGCTCACCAAGTCTCATCTCTCTTCGCTGATTCTTATCCCCAGTTCACCCTCAGGATTTCACATTCCTTGTCTCTGTTTTTTTTTTTTTTTTTTTTAGACAGAGTTTCGCTCTTGTTGCCCAGGCTGGAGTGCAATGGCACTATCGCGGCTCACCGCAACCTCAGTCTCCCAGGTTCAAGCAATTCTCCTGCCTCAGCCTCCCTAGTGGCTGGGATTTCAGGCATGCACCACCAAGCCCAGCTAATTTTGTATTTTTAATAGAGTCGAGGTTTCTCCATGTTGGCCAGGCTAGTCTCAAACTCGCCTGCCTCGGCCTCCCAAAGTGCTGGGATTACAGGCATGAGCCACCCCGCGCCTGGTCTTCACATTCCTTGTCTCTTAATCTCTCCTCCCTCATGACCTTCAGTCTCTCCTTCCTCAACCCTTGGTCCCCTCCTGTCCATGCTCCTCATTCTCTCCCTAAGACCTGCATAGCCTGTGGTTCCATGATAGCTGACACAATATGATTTTTTTAAAAGGAATGTGTACAAAAGAGACCTTCTTCCCACAGCTGTCTTTCTTTTATCAGAGAATAAAAATCCTTCCTAGAAGCTGCAAACAGCCTTCCCATTATGTCTCATTGTCCGCCACAGGGCCACATGTCCACTTACTGAGCAATCACAGGTAGAGTAAAAGGGTTTACCATGGCAGCTTTATGACATCATGACTGCGCTTCCGGGAACAGGCACCTACTGCCTCAATAAAAGAAAAATTGGAGTTCTATTAGCAGGGAAGAAGGAGTTGGGCAGGAAACTACATCTTCCACTCGGAAAGAATCAATACGGAAATAGCTAAAAGCCCTCATTTTGTAGCAAAGAGTCTTTGAAGCCAAAAGAAAATGTGGAGGTATTGCCTGAGTTGAGGCCCATGCATCAACTGGCTCAATTCTTCCCCAACTGCTGGAATAAGAATTTGCTGCTGGGAGATGGGTATGTAAAACGGAGCAGCTGGGAGCTTCTTCAGCACTATAATTTTTTTAAGAGTCATGTGTCTTTGGGTTTGCTTTATTCTTCCTACCCTGTATTGATATATCAATTGTTTTTCTTTTAATTTGAGCATTAATAGCCTTTAGATCTTTCTAGATGATTGCTTTATTTCATTTCAATCCAAAATAAGATGAATAATATATAGTCTCTATACTAACATGTATTTTTAACCATGAAACTATTCTTATCTCTGTTAATATTAAAATTTAAATAACATTTTAATGTTTTAATACATTCATTTACTATAAAATTTCCCTTGTATAATCCAAACATGAGGATTGTACTACGTACCCAGAAAACCTACAAATACTAAATCTGTATAAGACATTTGGAACCATTTTTTAATTAAATTATAATTTGTGAGACAATATATTTGTTGACAAACTTTGCATAGAGATACACTTACTTTTCCTGACAAATTTAGAAAACATTAAATATAAATATAATATCAAAATAATATATTTTAAAATGATTTGTAAGAAATATTTGGAAAAGCAAGGCATAATGTTTATAAACAATTTTTCTACCTGAATTATAAGTCTAGATTTTCAAATAATACTTTTCTCATAAGCAAATTCATTTGCTTTTAGTATGTTCTTCCTCGAATCTATACCCTACAGAGTCTATGGAACGTAAGTATTTTCTAAAAAACAATCAGACCATCACTTCCTCTGCTTTATATCCTTTTATGGCCTCACATCATTATCAGGATTTATTCTTCCAATTTTTTCATTTGACAAATAGTTACTGGGTGGGGTGGCAATGCAAGGTAAATTGGATGTGGTCCAAGCCATAGAGATGCAGTTGAGCTGTTGTTCTCAAATGTACAAGCATCAGACTCACATTAAGGTCCTATTAAAACACAGATTACAGGGCCCAAGTCCCAGAGTTTCTGATTTGGTAATTCTGGGATGGGTTCCAGGAATTTGTGTTCATAACAAGTTCCTAGCTGATGCTGGATCAGCTGTACCTATTACCACACTTTGAGAACTACTGATCTAGAGGCAAGAATGAGTGAAGAAATGGCTACAATACAAAGAGAAGAGGTATAATTGAGGAGGGTATGGGGTGCTATGTAAGCCCAAGCAAGACAACAGCAGAGAATGGGTAGGTTATGTGTGTGTGTGTTTGTGTGCTTCCATGCACATGTGTGAAGGGGGCATGAACATTCCCCAGAAAATCTTCCACGACATTTATTGTAGGTTTTCTTGAGTTATGATATCACATCTGCATTACCTCATTTCATCCTTATAAAACTTCTAGAGTGGTAGAATCCTTTTTTAGAGAGAAGAAAAATGAGGCTCAGAGAGCTTTTGTAACTTTCTGAACATTTAACAGTAAATTGCTGAGCTGAGACGCAAGTTCTGCTCTGACTCAACCCTTATTCTACTTATGATGAGCTGGAGCAGTGGCAGGGGTGTCCATAGGCACAAGAAGCACTTGCAAAGACCTGGGTGAAGCCAAACTTGACGGAGAGGAGTTTTGGTAGGAGAGGTTTAAAGAGCTGAAGTCAGAGGTGAAGGGAAGTTTACGCCTTAATGAGGAATTTTGCATATCTCTGAAGGCCCTGGGGAGGCTGAAAGATTTAAGGAGTAGTATAGACTAGAGAGGGGCCATTAGGTCAGGGAAGCATTTAAATGGGTTTGCAATGGAAATGGAGAGGAGGACAGGTATGTGAACTATTAAGGAAACAGAATAGATAACTTGTGGGGGTTAAGGGAGAGGAAACTGTTGACCCTATCTCCTAGTTTCCCAACCCAATTTTATTGACTGGTTGGACAATAAGGGGAGCACTATCAGTTCTAAATGACTGGAATGGTAATCCATAATCTAGCTCAGTGCTGTCCAGCAGAAATACAATGCAAGCCACATATGTAATTTTAAATTTTTTAATAGCCACATTTATAAACATTTTGATAGGGTAAAATTAATTTTAATAATATTTATTTAACACAACATATCCAAGATATTATGATATTGACATAAATGAATCATCAAAAATAGAGATATTTTATGTTGTTTGTTCATACTACGTCTTAGAAGTACAAAAGGTAATTTATTTACAAGACATCTCAATTCAGACTAGCCACATTTCAAGTACTAAATTGCCATGTGTGGACAGTGGACAAGACAGTTCTCACCTCTGCCTGTCCTCCAGCCTCATCTCCTCATCCCCTGCCCCAGTTAACCTAACTATATTGACTATTTATTGAGGATTCCTACGTGACAATCACTGTACTCATATTTTCTCACTGTATTCACCCTTCCCTGTACCCCACCACTATATGCATACAGGAAAAACTTTCTGGGTTTGGTTGTCTTTCATTTGCATTTCACAGACTTGGAAACCAAGACAAAGAGAGATTAAGGAACTAATCCCAGCTCATGTGGCCTACATGTGGCAGGGTTCCAGGCCAGATCTGCTGGATGTTTCCTCTCAACCCTGTGCTGTCCTGCCCCCACCCAGAAGTTCAGAATGAAAGCATGCTGAATAATCTTTATTTATTTATTTAGAGAAGGAGTCTTGTTTTGTCACCTAGGCTGCAGTGCCGTGGCATGATCTTGGCTCACTGCAACCTCCACCTCCCAGGCTCAAGCAATTCTCCTGCCTCAGCCTCCCGAGTAGCTGGGATTACAGGCGTCCACCACCACGCCCAGCAAATTTTTTGTATTTTTATCTAGAGACGGGGTTTCACCATGTTGGCCAGGGTGGTCTCAAACTGCTGACTTCAAGTGATCTGCCTGCCTTAGCCTCCCAAAGTGCTGGGATTGCATGTATGAGTCACTGCACCTGGCATGAATAATCAATTTTAGTTCAACACTCTGTTTTTAAAAGTATGAAAACTGTGACTCAGACAAGTTGAGTGAATAGCCCAAGGACACACCTTTATTTAGTGGCCAAATTGAGATCAGGAAAATAATTGTATTGAATTAACAAAGTAAAAGCACTTAATAATGCGGTCCAAATGAGGGAGCATTATTTTATTATGATACAATATTATTGCTGCACTCTAGGAAAAGCCAATATGTGAGATTCAGAATTTGTAGCTGTCTAGATATTTGGCTACTGCCAAACTTTTTATTATGTTTTTAAATATATTTGGATCCTGAATCAAATAAACTTTTAAAAATTAAGACATTTATGGGACATTTGGCTATTTAAACTTGACTGGATATTTAATAATGTTAAAAAATTATTGTTACGTTTTTAAGGTAAGATAATGGCATGGTGTTTTTTTCTAAGTCGTTGTCTTTGAAGATGCATAAGGGACATGTTTGCAGTTGAAATAATATGATGTCTGGGTTAGTTTCCAAATAAAAAGATAAGAGAATAGCTGGAAATGAGGATGAAACAAGATTGAATAGGAGTTGATAATTTTGAAGCGAGGTGAGGGATAAATGGGATTCATTATACCATTTTATTTAAATTTGCATATATTTACTTTTTTGGTAATACCTTTTTTCAATAAATTTATTCAACCAGTGAGCATCTTCACAAAATTTAAAGCATGCTTTGATTAATACAATTTTGAGGAACATCCCTGAGGGATGCGGTAAGGGGTAACCTTTGCTTAATACCTGTATGTGCGAGACGCTAAGCTAGCCACTTTGCAAACCTTATCTCCTTTAATCCTCACAACAACACTGCCAGACAGGAAGTATGATCCATCTTTATCACTGGAGCACAGAAGCTGGCACTTTGCCTTGTTTGTTCCTCTGGGGTCAAGGACATACGGTTTCAGGGGGTTTACAAGTACTCCAGCCCATTGAGATGGGGCTGGCATGAAGAGAAAAGGGTCACTGAGCAAGTCCACGGACTCAGCAAAGTCCCAGGGACCAGAGGGCATGTTGTTCTGCTGGACTATACAAGGGCAATGAAGAGGCAGGTAGCTATGCCTACTGGCAAGGAAAAACACACCTTCCCCCAGTAACAGCAGGTTAACAGGGCTCTACGAGGGGTTTGTCTGCAAACAGTGCCTCACCTTCCTTTTAGCGCCCTGGCGCCAGCCACAAACCGTTCTAGGTAGCCTTCTTCTGCCTTCTCCAGCTCTTCTCCACACAAGCCCCACAACCTGCAATCCAGTCTCAGCCTCTCCCCCAGCCACCTCCTCACCATCTCCCTCAAGATCCGGTGCTCCTCAGGCAGATCCCTGCAGAGCCTATTCAAGCTCCCTCTGGAATTCTCTTTCCAGTCTATTGATGGAGCTCATTTTGGAAGTTGAAAAAACAAACGAGCACCCACAGCACTGAATGTTCCTCTTCATTGCTTTCCCACTACACCAAGTCTAATTCTCCGGCACAACATCACCTCCAATGGAGGAACTGGTAGAAAAGGAAAACACAAGAACATTTCACAATATTATCTTGTGCATATAAGAAAGTCACCCGTGGGTCCTGTTATTTCCTTTGTGTTCACTCTTCTCTTTGGTGCTCCAGCCATTCTTAAGTACTTCCTATATCTGGAAAAGTTCAATGCTGTTCCCCCTATCTAGAATTAATGACTCCTCTCTTTGGAAAACTAACTCCCACTCATCTTTTCAGGTCTAAACTGAGACCTCACTTCCTCCAAGAAGTTCTCCTGACTTCTTATTCTCTACTGTATGCTCCCTAACACTCTCTTTTCTCCCAAAAAAAGCCCTCATTAGTCTGAAGATTTATAATATTCAAACACAGATCATTAAAACTGCAGTTTCTTTATTAAAAAGCTTCCACCTTTTTTTTTTGTTTTACAATCCTATTCTGAAAATGAAATAAATGTACACCAGTCTGCAAAATGTGCACATTTATGATGTAATGAATGTTTTTACAAGTTGCTTTCAGAAAATGGTCTGCTACAACTTGTCTTTACATCTTTGTCATCTTTTTCGATCAAAATATTTTGATACCAGCCTTCCTTCTACTGCCCTAAAAACTAAAGCAGTTTTAATAAGTTGAAATTAAGAAACGGCTATACCTATGTAAAAAAGGATAGAGGAAAGTGCTATTGATTTGCACACTTAGAATCTCCCAAAACCATGAGCACTATCTTTGCTAGGGCTAGGCTGGAACCTGGATAGAATATGAGTATGTGCAGGTGGCATCCCTAAGGATTCAGAGCTTAAGTGGAGCTGAGTACTTCAGCAGTGTAACTCACTTAACTGCCTTGCCAATTTCTACACTGGCTCGATGGGGCATAATTCAAAAAGGAAAAGCTCACATTCATTCTACTCTCCTGGAGCTGAGAGCCACCTCTCTTCATTTAGCTCTCAAGTTTTTCTTGTTGTTGCGTTTAATAACACCCTAGTGGGATGTCTTCTAGATATTATTTTATGGTTCTGCAAGTAATTGCTAAAAGATACAGGGTCTACTTTTTCTATGCTACTTACCTCATTTTATTTAAGAAGGGACTGGGAGGAAGAGATGTGTCCATTTGGCTCACTAATAATATATGTGTAGTGTCCGGTGTAGTTCCTGGCACACATTAGGTATTCAAAGAACATAAGTTGTTGGATGATTTGTTACAGTTTTAGAATTAATAGAAGGATGGCTCTACAGACATTCTGGTTATTTAAGTAGAATCAGTTACGATTGGTCAGAGTCCAGGCCACACTGAACAGTACCCCAGATAAAAGCAATCTTTGCTGTACAGTGAGAGAGTCACCAATCAGGAGATAATTATCAGGTGTTGACATTCTGCCCAAAACTGTTTCAGACTTCCTGGGGATAAAAAGGAAGAAGTAAGAAGAGACAAAATAATCACACAGAAAATAATTAGAACAAGCAAGTATACCCAACATTTATATGACTCTACTGTGTACTTGTCTAGATGAGCTCACTCATCTGATTAAACATGTGAGTTAGGATTATAGTCACCTCTTTATAGATGAAAAAACAGAGGCCCAGAGAAATTAAGTGATTTTCACAAAGCTAGTCACTTAAAGAGTTATAATTTGTATATACAATTGTATATAAAATTTATTGAATCCTGGTCAGAACAAAAAGCTTTGTGGTTCTGATTACAGCTGGTCCCTGACTTACAATGGTTCAATTTAACAATGTTTCAACTTTACAACAGGTTTATTGGGACATAATCCCATTGTAAGTCAAGAAGCATCCATAATTGCTAAAAGTAATTGCAAAGCTACCTCACAGAAAAGAGATAAGCTAGGTTTCATGAAGATCTAGCCTCCTAGGAAAAATCACAATGGTCCAGACTCTTCATATTCAACATCTGCCCACATACATGGCCTTTAAGTGGTTCACAAAGGTTATTATTCTTAACGCTGGTAACTGCATTTTAACAAACCTCTCAGGTGATTACAATGGAAATAACTACTGAGGATATAGGAGCTGTTCTAGGTGACAAACAGAAACCTAGACCTGTCCTAGAGTTTCCCCTCAGGCAGGATTTCCACATGGGACAGCCACAGGTCTGGATTCCTGAGCAAAATGGGCAAGAGACAAATTTCCAATTATAACGAGCAAATGTAATATTTTACTTCACTAACAATAAAGAAACACATACCCAAACTTCATAGACACTATTGTTCTATCAAGTTAGTGAAGATATTTTTCTTTTTTAAAAAATGAATTACTTGTTCTGGTGGATGAAATGCATACTGTTCTAGACAGCCTTGCTAAAGATGGTGGGATATAGTGTCAAGCTAATGTGGCATTATAATACATTTATTTCTCAATGACAGAAAGTGAAGACAAAATTTCCAAAGAACTTAGTAAGTGTTTTTCCCAAATTCTCACAGGCAGGAAAAAGGACATTCTCCTATAATTCAAAACTATTACTACACACAATAAATCCTACATAGATATAAAATATTATTGATATAGAGTTTATATTAAGATTTCCTCTATTGTTCTCAAAATCTGAGAATTCTGGAATCAATCATATTTTCACATGTTACATTTGGTTGTCATGTCTCTTTAGTAACCTACTCTGAATTTGTCTGATGGTTTCCTCATGATCAGATTCTTTGGGGAAGAATTCTACAAAGGTAATATTGTGCATTTCCCATTGTATCTTATGAGAAGATGTAAAATATGACTTTCATTATTACTGATGGTCAGTTTGATCACTTGGTAAAGGTGATATCTACTAGATCTATTTTCACTGCACTGTTCATCATTTGTAATTAATAAATAATCTGTGGGGTGACAGTTGAGACTATATAAATATCTGGTTCCCCCAAAACTTTTTAGCCATTCATCAGCGTATCTCGTCTGAATCAATTATTTATATTGGTATTGTAAATCGATGGTTTTATTATTTTATTTTTTCTTCTGCATTTCAGTAGATATTCTTCCATGAAGAGATTTCCTTTCTTACCCTTGAACTTACATATTAATTTATATATTTATTATTTATTCATTTATTTTTGATAACTTATGGTCTTTTTTGTTTTCTGTGTGCCATAATTAATTAACATCATGATTCCTGTTGATGCTCAAATTATCCCAAGTTTGATCAATTTGAGCACCTACCAGATACCACCTGTGTTCTTTTTACATATCCCCATCATTTTTATACTTCCTTGCTTTATGACATTCCAATGGGATATTGTCTTTTTCATTACTACATTTTCATATACACTTTTGTCTATTTGTGAACTTTCTATTTGCCTCCATTGAACTATCTACTCATGAATCAATACCACACTGTTTTAATTATAGAAGCTTTATAGTATGTTTTAATATCTGGCAAGGCATTTGTTAAAAGGATAGAGCTTGCATTAAGTGTTCTTACCACACACGCGTGCACACACAGGAAACCATCAATGGAGCACAAGGAAACTTTATAACGTTTACAAGGAAATTTGTGGAGGTGATAAATATGTCTATTATCTTAATTATGGTGATGGTTTCACAGGTGTTGAAAATGTTCAAATGTATAAACTTGTATACATTAAATAAGTACACTTTTTGTATATTAATTTATTCCTCAATAAAACTGCTTAAAAAATATCTAGTAAGGCTAGTCACCTCTCCTTTTTCTTTTCTTTAGGGTTCTTATAACTATTTTTATTTTTTCATATAAACTTCAAAATCTACTTGACTAGCTCCATAAAAACAACTTTGTTATTTTTATTGAGATTATGCCAAACTTATTAAGATGGGAATAAATGATAGCTTTATTATGTTTACGAGTACCATTCAAAAACAAGAAAAATTTCCAAACTTATTCAAGTCCACTTTTGTATTTTTCAGGAGTATGTTAATTTTTTTCTCATATAGATTTTACACACTTCCTGTTAAGCTTATGATTAAATAAATTCTTTTTGCTACTAATACAACTGAAGTTTCCTCTTCTGTTACATTATCTAACTAGCTACTGTGTGTTTATAGAAAGGCTTCTGATTTTTGTATTTTAATAGTCTATTACCTTACTGATTTTTAAAATTGTGTTAGTGTTTTCATTGTTGTTTTGGATTTTCTGTATATACTATGATATCAACTGTAAATAGAGATAGTTTTACTTCTATTTTAATTATCATGGCTCTTTCGTTTGTTCTGATCTGATTGAATGGAATAGTATCTCTAACATATATTTTTTTATATATATATAATTTTTTTTTTTTTTTTTGAGATGGAGTCTAGCTCTGTCGCCCAGACTGGAGTGCAATGGTGAGACCTTGGCTCACCACAACCTCCATCTCCCAGGTTTAAGCAATTCTCCTGCCCTAGCCTCCCAAGTAGCTGGGATTACAGGCACATGCTACCACGCCCGGCTAATTTTTTGTATTTTTAGTAGAGATGGGGTTTTGTCATGTTGGCCAGGCTGGTCTGGAACTGCTGACCTCAGGTGATCTACCCACCTCAGCCTCCCAAAGTGTTGGGATTATAGACGTGAGCCACTGCGCCCGACCCTAACATATGTTTAGATAGTAGTGGAATTAGTGGACATTCTTGCCTTGTTCTTGGCCTTTCTGTAAAAGCCTCTAGTATTCTCCATTAAGTAATATACCAGCTTTAGGACTGCAATGTGTGTGTGCATGTGTGGTTATATATATATATTTCAGTTATATATCTGATCAGACAAAATCATAAGTTCTTATTTTATTCAGTATTTTAATCAGGAATGGTTCAGGAACGATTGCCAATTTTTGTCAAAGGCAGTTTTAGCATCTATGAAGATGAGTGAAGATGATCATATGATTTTCTGCTTAGATTTATGAACATCTAAATTATGTTAGTAGATTACCTAATATTGAACTATCCTTATGTTTTTGGAATAATGCCACTTGGTCATGATGTTTTATTTTTATGATGAGTTATTGGGTTCTGTTTGCTAATATGTTTAGATTTTTACTTCTGTATTCATAAGTAAGATTGATCTGTAGTTTTTTTTTGTACTATCTTATATGGTTTAGGTGACAATATATTTCTTGTTTCATAAAACTTCCTTGTGGCTTTTCTTGTTTTTCTATACTCAAAAATGATTTAAGTAGCATTGGGAGTATGTGATCTTTGAAGACTTAGGAGAATTCTTTTGTGAAATCTAGGCCTAGTCCTTCTGTTATAGCCTTCTCTATTTATTCTATGGAAACGGGAAGCCCTTGTGTGATTTTGCAAAGCAGAATGTTCCCATTGCCTACAATAGCTTCACTCTTCTTTACAGAGCAAGTAGCTATATTCACTAGGTCTGGCTCATATACCATCTTCTCACTCCACCCCTCACTGCAGGACAGAATCAATCTCTATTTTCTTTTATTGCTTCCATAATATTACATTTGTCTTATAGATCTGATCATGCTTATATTGTAGCATACCTACTTTTGGAGGTATACATTTCTTTCTCCAGTCTCTAAAAGACAGACACTGATTTGATCACATTTAATTCTTCAGCCCCCAAAATACGGGTCAGGCTTTCATAGGTATTCAATAAATACATTTTGAATAATAATCATGGACGGAAGGAAAGAAATAATGGAAGACAAGACCACTATAGTAGGAACCATAGTCTTTTTTTTCTTTTTGAAACAGAGTCTTGCTCTGTCACCCAGGGTGGAGTACAGTGACACAATCTCAGCTCACTGTAACCTCTGCCTCCTGGCTTCAAGGGATTCTCTTGCCTCAGCCTCCCTGAGTAGCTGGGACTACAGGTGTGCACCACCACAGCCAGGTAATTTTTGTATTTTTAGTAGAGATGGAGTTTCACCATGTTGACCAGGCTGGTATTGAACTCCTGACCTAAAGTGATCTGTCTGGTTTGGCCTCCCAACATGCTGGGATTACAGGCATGAGCCACCGCACCTGGCCGGAACCATAGTCTATTAATAAAGTATGTGGACTCTAAGTCATATATGCTGGAGTTTCTCCCCCAGTGATCTGAATCACTGGCAGGTGTGTGATATTGGCTGCTTACTTTCTGAGTTTCGTTCTACTCATCTATAGGTAAAGTTTCATAAGGGATTTGTATTCCAAACGTGTACAATTCTTAACATTAAGTACTGTATGTGCTCAATAGATAATACTTTCTCTCTTTCTTCTCCCCATGGGAAAGCCTGCATTGTAGTTCTCTGGACAATTCCTGGAGAAATCATGAGATATGACTCTCTCACCTGTAGAATCACAGCAAAGGATCCATCCTACTGATAAGTAGTTCCCTCTGAAATTGCCTGAATGAATGAAATTCTCCAGTTCAGGTGAACAGCCCTGAGGATATGCAGGCATGTGTTGTGCTTCTGAGATTTTTACAACATTTGTTTTACAGAGGAAAGTTTACATTAGTTTAACATAGTTAGGAAACATGTCGTCTACAGGAGTAGAATACATTGTATTCTGAACAATTTAGCAGTCCTCATACTTGGGCTTTCTTCCCAGTTCTTGTGCTATTTTCCCAGACAGCAAATTAGTTAAATGGCCTTTGGCCATGACTCTTTCCCTTGAGTCAGCTTTTCTCTCGTTGAAAGTGTAGAGATAGGGGGGATTTAATTAGCCCAATGCCTGGCACATTGCATGCACTCAATAAATGTTTGTTGAGTATTCGAGTTATCTCTAGATGGTCACTTTTGCTATTACTATTAATTTATGAGCATATCAGTAATTATTGTGCTGATAATACTGACAGTGAACAAGCACTTAAAGAAGAGTTAACTCAGAACTTACAGGGATGTATTATGAGAGTCCAGATAGTCAACAACCTGTCTATTTCAAACATGTTCACTATTATTCTAACGTTCTAAGGCTGTAATTCTACACATGAAGCTCAGATAATTCTAAGATAGTGAGGAACTGCAGCAACTATCTGGATATTTTCCCTGCAATGTGTATATGTGTGTGTGTGTGTGTGTGTAAGCCCCGACTAAATATAGAACCCCCATTCTTTGTGTAAGCTACTTAAGAGAAAGGATTTTATCTTTTAATTTTTATCTCTTCAGCAGAAGTTATTATTGCTAGTTCAATCCCAAATCTACACATAAATTATGAAATTTAAAAACCCCTTAAAAATAAGTTTTTAATAAATATTTTTCCTGAAATAATGTTTTTACTGACCTTGAAAATTTTTCTTAGCTGTTGTCATGCTCAACATTACTCACTGATGACATATGTGGTAATGATGGCAGTGTAAAGAAAAAGCTTGAGGAAATACACACGGTGCTGATATTTTACTAAAATGAATGTAGCACTCATTCGTAATTGTAATTTAATTTTTAAGTAAAAATCTGATTTCTACTATCATTCCCTTAAGCCTGGCTCGTTATAGGCCTAAAGCCTGTGTGAATTTACACAGCTGCTTTGAGGCTTTGCATATTTCCTTGTTTTAGATTCTTTGATTTTTTTTTTAAGGGGTATTTTTACACTGAAGTAAAACACAACTATTAACACTAGCCTCAGGGGAGAAAAAGAAACTAACAAACCTACAGCTTGAAATGTTTCAATACTTTGCCTTTAAAATTTTGCACACCCTTTAGAAGTTACAAAAATAAAAACCACTCCCTGTAAAAAAAAAAAAAAAAAAAAAAAAGAAAGAAAGAAAAAAAGATTGAGAACAAACTGTCATGATTTCAGAAAACGATAGCAGACTTGCAGGTGTTAACACCAGAGAGCTTACCTCTGAATAAAATGGTGCCTTCCAAACAGCCACTATTTACATATTTTAGAATCCTTTCTTGGGCATGGGTGCCTTTATATTGCCCTATTACCACAAGATGCAAGCCGTGCAGCAGAATGTTTTCTGTATGGTACCCAGCCAAAAGTGAAACAAGTTGCCCACTGACAGAGAGGCCATTTATAGAACATATTCATTTACACCAGTGCTAGGCAGCCACTGAAAGGCAATGCAAAGAAGTAATTTCTCTTTACCTTGCTTGGAGCAACTCTGACCTGGAGAGCCATGTACACATCCTACGTCAAGGAGGTGATGAAAGCCCCACTCCTTATAGCGATGACATCTGGAAGAAGACACAATTGTCACCGTGAGCTTTTCAATTACTCCTGGAGACTAAGTGTGAGACGCAGTAGTGCAGGATGATTGGATTACGCAAAATGAGACAGATGCCATCTGCGAGCCATGCGTAAGCTGCTGAGTGCCAAAATGAACATCCTTATTAAACGATGGAGTTCTCATACCATTTGTAGTTTGGTCAGATTTGAAAGATGAGTTGACTGTTTTTAGATAGTGCTGCAAATAGGCAGGGACTTGGAATCCTCTCTGGCTGTATGAGTAATTACTGTCTCATACTTAAATTAGAAACATTGGTTTTCAGTTAGGTCTTGAGATTGTTTCCAAAGGATGCTGCTGCATTCATGTTGAAGCATGGCCTGTCCTCTCTGTTTCACTCACAAGGGCCACAGAGTTCTGAGAAAGAAATCATCAGTTCCTTTCACATCATGACAAAGAAATGTAAAAATTATGACTTTTTGTTAGGAAACAAAAGGATTCCCATACTCTAAAATAATGGCCACAGTACAGTGGGTGGAATGTTTTCCAGAAACTGCCAGAAAGCAGTATTGGAGCTCTGTGTCTCTCTAAGTCCTGAGGCTCCAGAACCAATCCTTCATTTACAATCCATTCTCTCATCTTTTTACTGGTACCAACTCTATTATTATTATTATTTTTATTTTTAATTGCTGTGATTACATAGTAATACAGTAATATACCCATAGTATTTATGGGGTATATGATATATTTTGATATAGGCATTGAATATGTAATGATCGCATCAAGGTCAGTGGGATTTCCATCACTTCAAGCATTTATCCTTTGTGTTACAAACAATCCAATTATACCTTTTTAGTTATTTTCAAATGTACAATTAAATTATTATTGACTATAGTCACTCTGTTGTGCTATCAAATACTAGATCTTATACATTCTCTCTAACTCTTTTTTGTATACATTAACCATCCCCACACTCCCCCTTTCCTCCCACTGCCCTTCCCAGCCTCTGGTAACCATTCTGCTTTCCATCTCCATGAGTTCAATTGTTTTCAATGTCAGCTCCCACAAATAAGTGGGGACATACGAAATTTGTCTTTCTGTGCCCGGTTTATTTCGCTTAACATAAGGACCTCCAGTTCCATCCATATTGTTGCAAATGACAGGATCTCGTTCTTTCCTCTGATTGAATTCTATTCTGCACCTGTACCACATTTCTTTATCCACTTGTCTGTTGATGGACACTTATGTTGTTTCTTAATCTAGGATATTGTGAAACATGCTGCAATATACATGGACATGCAGATACTTCTTCGATAGACTGATTTCCATTCTTTGGGGTATATACTCAGCAGTGGGATTGCTGGATCATATGGCAGTCCTATTTTTGCTCTTTTGAGGAACTTCCAAACTGTTCTCCATAGTGGTTGTACTAATTTACATTCCCACCATCAGTGTATGAGGGTTTCCTTTTCTTCACCTCCTCACCAGCACTTGTTATTGCCTGTTTTGGGATAAAAGCCATTTTAACTGGGGTGAAGTCATATTACTTTGTAGTTTTAATTTGCATTTCTCTGATGATCAGTGATGTTGAGCAGTTCTCACATACCCGTTTGCCATTTGTATGTCTTCTGATAAATGTCTGTCAGATATTTTGAGCATTTTAAAATCATATTATTAGATTTTCCTGTAGAGTTGTTTGAACTCCTTATATATTCTGGTTGTTAGCCCCTTGTCAGATGGGTAGTGTTTGAGTATTTTTTTCCCATTCTGCAGGTTGGTGTCTTCACTTTGTTGATTGATTCCTTTGCTGTGGCACCAACTTTAGATGGGAACTTAGCTGTGCCCTGTAATCCTTTTTCCGTTACAGCATCTTCTTAACCTCTATAAAGAGAAGATTCTGCAATACCTACCTGCATACCAAAAGCAAAGGTGAAAAGAGTGCCTTCAGCAAGTCCAGGCCTTGATAGTTTTCATCTGAATATGTTATTGAATTTGACATTCGTAATGCATATTAATAACACTATCAATGCTCTTTTATTCATATACCTTAGATAATTCATTTAATATGGGGTTGCCCTGTTCTCTGCTTATGTTGTGAGTTCTTGCAGAAAAATACTTTTCTGTCTGCTAGTAACACTGAAACAGCTCCCAGTGTCGTCTTCAGATTTCAGCACATGGTGGACCCTAAGTAAATGCTGATTGTCCAAATCCCATGCCCTGCCCTGTTTGTAACAGTGATGACCCAGACTTTCTCCTTAAAGAGAGCAGGCAGAGGCCAGGCGCGGTGGCTCATGCCTGTAATCCTTCCACTTTGGGAGGCTGAGGCTGGCGGATCACAAGGTCAGGAGATCGAGTCCAGCCTGGCCAACATAGTGAAATGCTGTCTCTACTAAAAATACAAAAAAATTAGCTGGGCATGGTGGCGGGCGCCTGTAATCCCAGCTACTCAGGAGGCTTAGGCAGGAGAATCATTTAAACCAGAAGGCGGAGGTTGCAGGGAGCCGAGATCACGCCATTGCACTCCAGCCCTGGTGACAATGAGGGATTCCATCTCAAAAAACAAACAAACAAAATAAAAAAAAATAAAAAAAAAAAAGAGGGCAAGTGGAACTTCCTGGGAGTCAGAGCACAGCACAAAGCAGAGGACTTGTGCCTGACTCACTCTACTCCCAACACAGGCTGCTTTGTGTACAACTCAGATGCCTTCTGAATTACTCAGGTAAACAACAACCACCCAAAAACTATCCTCTCAGGAAGCTGGCACCATACATTGGGAACCAATACTCCAGTAACTCTACTGGATAAAATACTGAAAAGTACTAATTTTCTATAATTACATTGGAAAAAAATTTGAAGGCCGGTAGTCTGATGGGTAGAGATTATGTGTGTATGGGTATTTACATCTATAATAAGCATCTGTTTTTTTTTTTTTCATCAGAGACACCACACTGGATTTAAGCATCATTTTTTGAATTGCTACTGTGATCTATTGTGAGAATAAGGCATGAGGCATACGCATACACATTCAGCAACTACAATTCTGATTTCCAAGTCTGTCATTAGACTGATGAAATATTTACATGTGTACATTTTATATGTATATGTGTGTGCATATATATAGTGTATACATATATTCATTCAGCACATATTTATGATAAAGAATAAAATACATTACAACTCTTCACATTCTTGAGTTCTGAATTGTGCTCCTTCATATTTCATCATGTTTTAAATTATTTTCCGTCCCTTTGTGTAATTTGTATCCAGAGTTCTCCTTTGTTTGTTAAAAATCTGACTCAGCTACTTCCTTCATGATAGAGGCATTCAAAAACTTCAAGGTACTAAAGAAATATTTGCAAGATTGTAGCACATAATTTAGAATTTCTCCTTGATAAAATCAAAGGAGAAAATGAGCTCAGATCCACAATTACTAATTGCAAATCGTTAGGGCCAGATAGGCTTCCAATTTCAGAAAATTTTGAATTTTAGTCAAATAATAGGATCCATATAGTATATCACATGTCCAAGTAGTCTAGAACTTCCCTCTGTATCCAAACATTGTTTGAGCAGCAAAATGTATAAATATTTGCCAGAAGTGGGATAAATGAAAATTAAATAATTTTGTCAATTTGGTTTTATCACCAAATTCATTAAGGTCTGGTAATATTCTGTCACCCAAGGATAATAAAAATAGTTTCCACGGATTTTTAGATTTTTGGATTCACAAAAGGAGTACTGGACAAATACAGATTTAATTATAAGAATCTACAGATTGGCATTGATAATAGAACTCTTGCTAAATAAAATTAAACTCGGCCTAAAGCAGCCTCTGCACATAATAAACTGCAGCCTAACTTAAGAGCATGTTCTTATAAGGAGTTGCTGAGCCTCAGCCAATCACAGCAGCTGAGCTTTGGCCAATCACAGACTGTCAACCAATCAGAGAGTGTCTATATCAGGCAAATGCTGAACTGTAGCCAATCAAACTGTTTCTGTATGTCATTTCCTTTTCCTAATACTGCCTCCCCATGTTGAATGGAGCTCTCTGAACCTCTCCTGGTTCTGAGGGCTGCCCAATAGATGAATAATTCTTTCCTCAAATAAACTCTGCTAAATTTAATTTTTCTAAAGTTTTTCTTTTAAAACTGTGAATACAATTTTAAATGATGTGGTAAAAATAAAGATGCTGTGTTGACAAAGTCAATTTGTCCCCAAGAAATTAAAAAGTAAAATTTCTTTGCCCTCAGTGCCAGAATGAAATAAGAGATTTCCCCTGATGCTTTCTGCTCCATTATAGCTGGCTTTGCTTTGGAAGTCTGATGGTGTTATATTTTTAGTTTTACTGATTCTCTCTAACCCATTTCTTCCCTTCAGGCCCTTCTACCACATCTATTGTTCACCGCCTTTGTGAAATTGAATTATTCTATAGGATATCACTAAATCATAAAAACATTAAGAATAAACAGACTATTTTATTTCAGGGAACCATGAAAATAATGGTCAAAAGTGGGGTAATTTTTTTTCTGTTTACAGCCTTCATGGAATTTAGGTTTAGGCCCATGTTAAGGCAAAGATACATGTATACACACGAGCACACACTGATTTCACTGCTTCATATTTGTTGAATAGTAAATTGTGTCTTGAAAGATAAGGGCACAATAAGGAGGAGTGCCCCGTATGGTAATGAATGGCACGGCATCATAAAAGAGTTGGCATGAATGACTAGTTATGAATATTCAAACTGTTATTAGATAGATAGTAGTCTCCATGCTGCCTCCCATAAACCTAAACCAGGTTTACCAATGACTGCAAATGTGGACACTTGAGTTTTGGTATCTCATTTTACTTACTTTTAAACCAGTTGACTATGTGCTGCATCTTATCATAGGTAGTACGGAATAAAGGATCATCTTTAAGAGGATATAGAAAAGATCTGGAGATGTACATTGTATCAACTTGAATTCACATTGGGAAAGAAACATACAAGTTAGAGCAATTCAATACAATGACCACATAGTAAAAATAAATACGAAAGATGAAGTTAGAGCCCTAATTCAAAGAATATGAGTTGTATCTTCAATAGGAAAATAAAATAGAGTGGAGAGAAGGAGAGAGAGGGCATTCGGATAAGAGAAATATAAAGTACAAAGGAAGTGAGAACAAGGCAATGAGATCTGCTTTGCTAGAGAATGAGAAATAAGACTAATGCAGGGGTGGAATGTTGATTGGTGAAGGCCTCAAAGGACAAAAGGAGCGTTGTATTTTGGTTCAAAATAAAACAGCACTGTT